TTTCTAAGATTATTTAGTGTATATAGAATTCTTATGTCTAAGGAAAAAAGAACGAGATTTTCATCTCCTTTAAGACAGCTTTGGGTACCTGAAATAGGTGATAATGTTTTTTGCAAGTGTGTGGATTTCCCACAATGGACCCTGACGGAGATGACTGCTTATGAAGAACCTTCAATGACCTGAAACATGAAAGCCCATTTAGGGAGTTCTAAAAATGTGGATTATTGACTTGGCTATTTTATAATGGTCTGTTTCAACCATTACCACCTCTAATCCATTTTTTTCAAAATTCCCTTTTGGTGAGAAACATGGGATAAATTTGAAAAAACTACTGTACAATTAATTGGTTTCAGTGTGCTTGTGTTATTTCAGATGCAATTTGTTGTTTTCAGTGGACCAGAGAAAAATTCTAAAAGGTCTACGCAAATGCTCTAAACCGGTTCTGTGTATTACAAGTACCACGTGTAGGTCCTTGATGTCCTGCTGCTCCCCTACTGGGTACAGCAGTGGGTCTTTCCATGAGTACACTAGACTGGAAACTTTAAAGCAGATCAGCCAAAGTGTGCAAGAAACACGAGCACGCTAGAGTCTGGACAGTGCCTCTGCGCCCTGTGCTTTGTGACCGAGAGTGAAACCAGGACTTCACCCCACACATGAGTGGCTCAGAGAAGTCAGGTGGAGACTTCTGGAGACAGGCATGTCCTCTCTGCAAACATACAACATTTCCTCAAAGAGTGAGGTGCACATGAAGGGGCACTGCTCAGACAGTGAGATTCTCACTATATTTCTAGATTTGAAGGTTCCCTACTGAGAAAAGAGGGGAACATCAGCTTTTATCTGTAGAGTCAGATGATGCATTTCCAAATTTATTCTTGAGAACAAATATAAAATATAAAATGTTAAATATAAAATGTTAATATTTTTCATCAGTTAATATGCAGGCAAGATATTTTCTTCATTAACTTTAGACTTTAAAACTCCATTGGGCTGAAATGAGTTCATGCTAAGTCCCATATGTTTAAAGCCAATTGCCGTGGAAGGGAGGAGCAACTATAAACACCGTAAGTGTGCGTAAACTTCCTCAGACACATCTCTTCTGGGTCAAATACATTTTTTATTTTACTGATACACACAGCTGACTAAAAAGTATTTGTTACCTGGCTGCCCAAATGTGGTAAGACATTTGTAGATGTTACATGGCATGAGATGGTACCAAGAACTGCAGGAAACAATACTGTTTGCCTTAAGACTGCCCAGTTCCTAGCACACACATAGTAAGCATTATATTTATTTTGAAACAGCAGTCTCATAGAACTTACTAGTCCTCATTCAGCCCTAATTAGGACCTCATGTATTTAATTTATTCATTCATTCGCTCACTCCTAATGCAACAAACATTTAGCAAATATCTAACGTACGCTGGGTACTAGGTTTACCAAGATGAGTAAGACAAACTCCTTGTCTTTGAAGAACTTACCAGAGGCTGGGAAAGAGAGACTACTACACAAATAATTACGATGGAATGTAGTGTGCTAGAGAAATACAGAAACACAGAAGGCAGATGTTGAAAGCAGACAGGCTGCAGGATGTATGCTATGGACCGTGGCTTACCAAATCTGACTCCTGACTGGGGCAACTGCTTCTGCTTTGGACAGGCTGTTTCTCCTTCCCAGGTTCTGACTCTGAGGTGCCACTCAGATCATGGCAAATGGACTCAGACTCCTGATTTCGTTTTAGCTTGATGTTGAGCCCTAGGCCCTGGATCAAACTTTATTTCAATTAAACCTGTCAGACAAACCCTTGAACTCCTCACCAAAATCTAATCCATGAAGACCTCCTCTTCTCATCCGAATGTCCCAGCAAAACCTACTGCTTTGACAGCAACAGTCTCCCCTTTGGACAGGGATGGATGAGCAGATAGGAAAAGAAGAACGATGAACACCTTATACAATAACGACAACTTCCTCACCTGGAGTGTGCAGGTGGGGTCTGTGTCTCACCTTTTCAAGTGGGCAGTGGGTACTCTCTCGGAGAAAGGGAAGTAAGTTTGGTCGATCATATTCAGCGTAAAGACTGATCTGTTTTTCGTGGTAGCGCTGCCCCTTATGATGGTCTCTCTTGAAAAGCTTATGCAAATACTAAAAGGAATAAGAAATAAACCATGAATATAAAATAAGAAAAGCAGTAATGCACCTGGTTAATATTGCTACTTTCAGTTCTAAACAGCTTCCATGGAGAGGCTGGGGGAGGAGCAGTCTCCAGGAAAAGTCTCTTTGGGAGAGCAAGGAGATTCTGACATTCTCTCTGGAAGGGCCCAGAGCCATCTGGCTTTGCCATTTACCAACTATATGACCTTGGGCAAGTCGCTACCCTCTCTGTGACTCAGTTTCTATACCTGCAAAAATCTCACTGAGTCATTGTATAGATTAAATGAGTTGACATTTGTAAATCACTCAGAACCATGCCTGGCATACATTAAGCACTACAAAAATGTTAATGATAGTTGCTAATATCATCATCATCTCCTTCAAGTAAGAAATAAAATGCTTGATTAGCAGGCTTTCTGCATCATAAAAATTCTCTTCTTTTATATAAACAGGGGTTGAATCATGGGACAAACATTTATTTTTAAAAACTCAAGTACTGGGCCGACCCCATGGTGCAATCGGGAGAGTGCGGTGCTGGGAGCACAGCAGCGCTCCCGCCGCGGGTTCGGATCCTATATAGGGATGGCCAGTGCGCTCACTGGCTGAGCGCGGTGTGGCCGGTCACAAAAAAGAAAAAAAAAATAAAATAAAATAAAAAACTCAAGTACTAAATGACTTCTCATACATTCCGCAACTCCTCTTTGTTGAATCTTACTGAGATCTATGTTTGCAATAAAATACTGCCTATACCGATGACACCAAAAACAAAAATTAAAATCAAGAAGAGTATAGGTGTTCTGAAGGAATTTTCAAAACTGATTTCTAACCCTACTGTCTGAAAGAGTTAATGGGCCTCAAAGGAAATGAGTAATTCACTTTCTACCCATAGACAAGATTAGGCTCATTACTATATTACGCAGAAGTTAGAAATCGATGTCCACTGTTTAGCTGACATTAAATGTAAACAAAAACCCCGCAACTCATTGGAAGTGGGAAGACTTAATCACACCAATCAGGTAAAGTGCATTCACCCCTTGAGTGGCTGCTTCCAAGAGGACTGATTCATAAAAAATGTATTGGCCTGACCCCGAAGCTGCAATCACAAATGAGCTAGCTCATGTTTGACATTTGCTGTTGTAAATAGTCATAAATAAGCCTATCCATGACACACGCACATTAAGAAACACTCCTCAGTCTAACTGCTCACGTGTCCCCCAGGCAAGAAGAGGAAATGAGGGTTCAGACTGAGCTCCTCTGCCAGGCCAAGGTCTGATGAAGACCACTGCAGTTCACCAGCACTGGGGCCAGCAAGAGCAGGATACACTGGGATGTTTCCCAGAAGCACACAGGACGGGGGGCTCTGTCACATCTGCCAAGTCAAATTTATAGAGATATTACATTGCCTGGCAGAGAAGATGAGCCATTTTAGTGTGGGCCTTGCCACCATTCACCACTGCACTGATTACACTGTCACACAGAGAGCTGCTGCCCGTAATCCTGTCTCGTGGCTTAAGTAGGTCAGAAATCATCACTTTATAAACAAATTCCCAAGGTGGCCAGCAGAGTGGAGCCTTTCTTGGGTAAGCAGATAATATTAAGATTTCCAATCATGAGCAATATAGCAATAGCATCTGCACAACCCCTGAGCAAAAAAACAAAACAGAATAAAATAGAAAACATACTTCACATTCCTATCCTAGAGTCTTCAGGAGCCTCAATGTATAAAACTGACTTTCCAATAGAATACTCTACTCCCCGAGCCTCCCCAGGGGGCACAAGGAGATGGGCAAAGACAAAAGCGTGCTCACTGTATGTGGGACCTGCAGTCCTACTGCCAGACTCCCTACTGCAGCCTCTTCTTGTATACTTTTTAAGGAACATAGAAAACATCTACTCTTGTTTTACTCCCCTGATGATACAATGCAGAGACTCAAAGGAGCCCCCCAAGGAAATCTAGATTAACAGGCCTTAATAGCACAACCAATAAAATCACACACGAGATACAGGATTAGCTATTGTCAGTGGGAGGGGAAAAAAGATGAGGCTCTGCCCTTGATCACCCTGCAGTCCCGAACACAGAACCACTGTGTGGTATCTCTTGGCAAGAGAACTTGGTGTCTGCAGTGCACTCCTGGATTTGGCTGTAATTTATGCCATGATTACGTTTAATGGTAACTACAGAGGGAAGGTGCTTACTCCTAGGCATAGTATTTTTTTCATCACCATTCAAGTGTAAATCAAAGTCCAAGTGCCTGATCTGCAATTAATTCCTAGCCTCGGATTCATAGAATGCACCACATTTTAGTGATTACAGAACACTGTGGTCACACCTCCAATCTGAGCATTAACCTCTTAAAGAGTTCACTCCAGTATCCCTAAGCCAACACTGAACGCGACTTGCCCCACTCTTCAATCTAAAGGGCAAAAGAAGAACGCGGTCACGCTCACCACATGCTGCAACTCTGGTCTGTCTTCTAATTCTTCCACTACCTTTTTAATCTAGGGGAAAAAGAAGATTTTAAATGTAGAGTTATGAGGTCACAAAACCAGCTGCAACATTTTCTGATAAACATCTCTCTTCTTCATGTCTATCATGGTCCTTAACATTCTTCTGGTAACATATATTAAAAACAAAAGACACTCACTGAAATTTTATCTTCATTGTCCAAAAGCATGTCAACAGCTTTCTGAAATATAAAAAATAGCCACAGTGATTGATATCTGCTGTACAGGAAGGGCACACTAAACACAATGCAGTGTATACACCACCACAGTGAAAGGTGGGGGGCTTACTTTCTATCCTGAAGGAGCCATAGGCCGTTACATAAAATGGAATTTGTAAAGGAATGCACTTTCAAACGTCTTAGTAGTGTGAGGCCTACATGTTTTGCATACTACTAAGGTGGTGCCTCACTATAACTAATCAAATCCAAAACATCTCGAGTATACACATTGCAGCCCCTCTGATGTCGCACATATCTTCACGGGTTCTCATGCGTCTCTCAGCAGTTATGGAGAGCACCTCGTGGCCAGTATCACAAAAACGAGCTTTTCTTTTTGGCTACCTGAGCCTTGACCAAGTCTCCCTAATAGACTGCACAGACATGAGGAGCTAGTCCTACGTGGAGCAGAGGATAAGAGCCAGAAAAGAATAAGATACCTGAAGTTTAATAATAATAGAAAGCTTACAGACTTTAGCCAACTTTAACATTCATGAAACACAAGTTAAGTTCACGACAAGAGGTGGTGGGTCACAGCCCACCAGACTGAGTCTCACACAGAACACCAGGGCCTGTTCTTGACTCTGCTGCCGCCTCCCTGTCTGCTCCAAACTTTATTTTTGTGCTCTGAAATATGAGGGTGTTGGAATAGATTATCCCTAAGGCCTCTTCTAGTTAGAAAGCTCTGTAATACCTTATCTTAGGTTAATACTCTTAAACAGCAATTGGTTTCAGCTCATTCATATTTTTTCCACAGCTGCTTATGCAAAACTAGGCTCCCAAGAGACACGCGAGGAAAGGCTGAGCATGAGGGGAGACTGGACGTGGGGAAAATGGAACTGATTTTTATAGCATCTCATCCTCATAATCATCCTCTGCCAGAGAAGCAGAGCCTCTCTCCCTGAACTTCCTAGGAACTGTGTGATTCTTTGTAGATCTATAGTCCCTTTTAAAGACTTAACTCACTATGTCAAAAAATAGGCTAACATATCTTTGAGAAAAAGAGGTAGATGTAGCTCCTATATAAATTAAGTTGAAGTTTGTGAAGAATAATATAACATATAATACCCCTAAATACAGTAAAATGTAATTGAAAAAAGCATTAATTCTTTTGGAGCCTTTAGGGTTCTACTTTTTGATTTACCTAAAATCTCAATTTTCTGAACAAGAACACCGTTTTACAAACCTTGTTATTTCTATCACCAGCAGTTGCAATTAGATCCCTTTTTAGACACTCAGACAGACAGACAGACACACACACACACACACACACACACACACTTTGTAACACTTTACAAAAGCCACTGCGGGCTGTGGAAGCTGGGTCCCTTTGGTAGTCAACCAGCTCACTATTCAAATTTGTCCTGTGATAAAATAACACCTCCCACATGTCCTGGACCTGAGCACTGGCTGGGACCAATGGAAACCCCACACGCTGGATCCATGAAAGCCAAGGAATAAAACTGTAATAGTGGATCAAAACAGAAGTCACTTAAAACTTTAATTCTGGGCTATAGATAAAGAGGGTTAAATGAGTCAAAGCATGTGACTAGTTTGTTTCTATGAATTATATAAATTGTTTTACTAAAAAATTACTTTATACACACACACACAACTTTATAAGTTCCACATCAAATTACAATTGCATTTACAGAATAACCACATCGAGGAAAGTATTCCTGAACACCAACTACTAAAATAACTAACACCACCTAATGAGGGTCAGAGTGCTCCAAGCATGAAGAGCAGACAGCCAAGCTACACGATTCATTATTAAAAATCTGGAATAGTAAAAATAATTGATCAGTATTAAAATAAAAAGCACATTACCTCTGAATCAAAATCCATTAACAAAACAATTTTATCCTTGATAGAACTGAAAAGATTATGCTTGTGGATCAACTCGAAAACATCTTTATGTCTTAATGTTAAATATATTTCCAGAGCATTCCCATAGTTTTTGTCATAGGTGTACCTGGTAATACAAAAAATTTTATTATCAATATTCATCAACAACTCTAATTAAAACACACACAGAGATCAGGTTTTACAATATTAAAAACACTCATTCAGAGAGAAAACTTTATCTCAAAAAATATACCTTGGGATTTAACTGTAGGTGATCATTAAGTATTTCCTTCTCAGAACTTGCCTTTTAGGTAACCAAAATTTCAGAACATTTACAATATTCAAGTAATAAAAAATTACTGTTTCAGGGGCTCGGCCTCAAAAGTTTTTACAAAAATCCTTACACCAGACAAAGAAACTATAATCCAGAATGAAGTTAGTTCTCATTTTAGTAATAAAATAATCAGTTAACATTCTCACAGTGTTCAGGTGATAGATGGGTTACATTCCAAAAGCTTACTCATAAGGGGGCTGTATAAAAGGGAAATGTGTTCTTCCCTGGGAACGACGTTTTTCACATTGACTACGTCCCTAAGCCAGCTCCTGAAAGCCAGGTGGGCCGCGGGCGTCCTGTCAGTCCATTACTGACGGCACTACAGAATTCCAGGGGCACCCAGAACAATGTGTCCCAGAGAAAACAACTAGCGTTCAACCCAGAACGCCACGAACACAACTTCCCCTGTGTAAAGTCTAAGCTGGTCTTGAGTGCTAGGCCATTTTGGTGTACTTTTCTTGGTCTTGGGCAAAAGAAGTGAGAAGATAGGATGGGGAAGTCTGAGAGGGTGGGGTGCTGAGGAGGGGCTCCGGCAGGAACAGTCTTCGTGGGCGGACGTGAAGGACCCCGTTCTTGTTCCCCTAGACCGGAGCTCTTTGAGGGCATGAGTATCTTATCTGCCTCTGCGTCACGGGCTTCTAGCACAAAGCCTGGGTCACTGAAAGTGTCCAATAAATGTGAAAATATTAATCAAGCTTCCATTTTCTGAGCCGTCAGGCACTGTGCTTAGTCCTCTATTATGACGTCTCATTTACAGCTTAAAATTGTCCCATAAGGAATTGTTACCTGTGATTTTACAGACAAGGAGCCTGAGATTTGAAGATCCGAGAATAACACAACGTGGAGCCTTGCCCACCAGGACGCTGTTCTGCTTGTGTCATCTACAACCTGACGTCCTGTCGTCTCTTAACCACGGCCTCTCCACGCGCTGCAGACGGGGCTCCCCCTCTCACCCCCAGAACTGCATTACAGTTGTACAGTTTCACACACCATCCTTACCACCTAGTTGTTCATCTGAGGTTTATGAAAGTTTATGAGGTTTTATTCTTTTACTAAGAATAAAAGCAGAAAAATGGTGTAAAAAGCGTCCTCCCCATTCAGAGTTTGCCAAATCTAAAGTATGAAAAACTTTTCAATGTAGATTAATTTGGAAAAAGAAGCACAAAACTATACTCACAATTCTGCCAGGGTTTTTAGTAAAGTCTTATTCTGACTGTCTTTTTTCAAGTGATCCCGAACTGCTTGAACTATTGCTGAATTGTTGTACAGGTCTCCAGGCCATTCTCGAATCAATGTGGCAAAACCCTAACCAAATGGGAAAAACAGGAAAAGAACACTTGAAATAGGATAACAATTGTAATATTGTAAAATATACATTTGGTCTACTTCTAGTTTCCTGGCATACAACTCCTAAAATCTTTGGAATCTCCAAAGAGATGTGGTTTTTGTATGTTAATGAGTCAGCTGGTAGCTCGCAGCCTAGGTAGCTTTAGGATGGGGTTTGGTCACAGGAAAGAGCAAGGCATGATAGAAGATTGGGATTTTCAGTGATACCCCCCAACCTCCAGGAAGGGGAGAGGCCAGGGCCTGAAGGTTACATTGATCACCAATGGCCAATGATTTAATCAATCTACATAATGAAGCTCCCACAAAAACTCAAAACGACTGGGTTTGAAGAGCTTCCAGATAGCCAAACACACATGGGAACCTCAGTTTATAGCCAATAGGTCAGAAGGTATAGGTGACAACCTAGTACTTGTGACTGGTGTCTGAAGTGGGGGCAGTATTGTGGGACGGAGCCCTCCACCTGTGGGATGTGACATTACCTCCAGGTAGATAGTGTCAGAATTGAACTGAATTAGAGGACACCCAGCTGGTACCTGCAGCAGAACTGACTGCTTGCTTGGTGTGTACGGGAACCCCCAGACATGTCGTCACAGAAGGATTCTGTGTTGTAAGGTATAATAGGAAAAACTGAGTTGGGTTTTTCTATATCCTCAGAATAATCCATATAGTTTAAATAATGCTAATGGTACTCACAGACTGATAATTTTATGATTAAAACTTTGGCCAATAAACATTTCATCATATTCAGATTATGGGTTTGGGGGTGGTAAGGGGAGGCAGGGAGAATTACTATAACATAATCGCCGTTTAACATTCCTGGGAAGTAGGTGGTGCTATCCACTTCTGTTCTTATTCTTATGAAATGCGCAACTAAGAAAGGCATCCTGTTCTTCCATAACGTAGTACCGCACAGAGCTTAATCTGACTTGCTCTACCTTCATTCTGGACCAGGAATAACGTTTGGATGACGTCCTTCACATCTTATAGATATTATCTGAGTTGGCTACTCTCCCCACCAGTGTCTATGCACTTTGGGTCTGCGTTGCTGTATGCACAGGTCATCGGCTGGGCACTGTGCAGCCTGCACAACTGCACACGGCGGTGTGCTCCGGACAGTTTGTCCCACAATGAGATCGTCTGGCATCCACCTTTAACAAGTTACCACCTTTGTCCTCCTTCCACTCTGGCTTCTCACTCTGGTTTCATGACGGGATTTAAGACTTTGGCTGTCTTATCCCCTGGCTCTCACCCTGGCTATCTCTGGATCTCAAATTTGTGGTTCAGAGAGAAACCCCTGATTTGATCCTGTTTCCCTTCCACAGCTGATTCTTGGCCAGTGTCCTGCATAGTGCCTCTGCCCTCCTGATTCCCGAGTTCAGCCACCATGTTTTATAATTCGAAGTACAGCAGAGCAGTTTACTTACTGATCCTTGACAACCTTTAGGGGAGAAAAACCTGAGATATATTCAAAAGACAGCAAAGAGAACTAAAATCCATATTACTAAAAAAATTATATTACTAATATTAAATAATTCCACTACTGCTTTAATGAACTACTTTGAGTTTATCTAAATGATATTTAGAAATGAAAACAGTCTGGAAGAAGTTGCTTCCGTTAAGGAACCTGTACTTGGTAAGAAGAAAATCACTAAAGAATCAGGAATATAGTTTCTGTTACAGTTCCACCCAATTTCTACTGAAGCAGCCCCTCAGAAGGATGGCAAGAGACCAGAACAATAGACCCAACGTTTTCCGTTTAAACTGCAACCTTCCTACACATCAGCATGACTGCAATTTGATTTTAGAGATCTGGGGAAGAGACTCAAACAGAACATTAAAATGTTTGTTGAACCAAAATGATATTTTGAATCAAGTTTCTGTTTTCTTAAGATTCTGTGCAATGCATAAGATAAAACAGTCTGAAAAGATTTCCACCCTCATACTGGCAACTCTCAAGTAGCCCTGAGACCAGGAATAATACTGCTCAGGGAAAGTAGAAAGATTGGCTCCATTTTCTCTTTTCCCTGTCCATGCAACAGCCTCACAATACTGCCAACTTCTAATATAAAATAAAACAAAATGACCAGACATATTGTGTGATAAAACCCTGATGACCCCATCATAAACCGAAATAAACATTTATTACATTTCATGTTAGGCTTCTCTCTGCTTAATTGGCTTCATGAACCCCTGAGTAAATATGCTATCTAAGATATATTAATGAAATCAACCCTGTGGCCATTATTATTAATTAGAAGACACAGCTGGGGAGCTGTTATAACAGAATAAGCAAAGTTACAGAACACCCCAGTGCCCATTATAATAACTAAAAAGTTCAAATGTATTCATTAAATGGAATGCCATAGAAATCGTCCTGCTTTTAACATGCTTTTACATTTGTCATTAACGTTATGACACAAAGCTATATAAAACAATTCTGCTAGGTTGTACATCAACAGGCAAATCTATATGCAAATAACTAGAAACTCTATACAAACAAGTCATGGGTCATCATTACCTACAAGAAAATCATATTATTTCCTATCTTTTTAGGAAGACTCAATATTTTAGAGAAGTACATTTTTTTTTGTAATCTTGAGACTGGAGGTGCTCAGTTTCCTGGGCTCGGATTACAGGACACACCTCTGGGTTTCAAGCGGCTCCCCAAAGTCTCAGGGCCCTTCTCTAGGACCCATAAAGGAAAGTTACTGTTGCTAGCTGAACCTATTATCAAACCAACACAAGACCTCAGGGGGCTGACTTATGCAAATCCAGTGGCTGGGCATGCTCAGCAGAAAGGGGTTCTATAACCCTAATAGCCAAGCATGCTCAGTAAAGTGGAATTTATATTCATTAGGTAGCATGAATATGTATTGGATAGCGAGACTGTAAAGGTTGAATCCCAGCAGAATGCGGGTCGTTGCTCACTTTCCTAGGGACAACCCGCACTTTGCCGGCTGAGGTATGTGTCTTTCTTTTGTATCAAACTTATCTTTGGCAGGCGGCTGCTCACTCTCTTGAGCTGGCCTGCACTCTGTACTAGCCTGTAAGTGGGTAGTTCTTACTTTTGTATTGGACCTGGTGTGGGCCCTGCTGGGTCTCTGGAGCTAGGCTGCACTCTTTCTGTGACATCTATATCTCTTACCCATCACATTAAACCTGTTCTCACCTTCTACTGTGACTCTGCTCTTGAATTCTTTCCTGTGGCGGAGTCAAGAACCTGGTAAGAGGAGGAGGTGGGTTAAAGCTCACTACTGGGGCTTCCCAGAACCCTTCTCTTCTGGCATCAATCTGACCTTTAGTGCTCTGTTTAGCAGCACAAAATTTTCATCCATTAAATATGTGATCAAAAGTGTTGCTATGGAACACTGCTATTTGATCGATTATGTGACAATTTCATTCAAAATTAAACATTAAGTTGAGAATAAAGAAAGCTAAAATAAGAATTATTTATAAGAGCTTATGACAATAAAAACAAATTACTTATAACCTTCTTAAGAGTACTGGCCAAGCAGACATCCTAAAACATTCAGGAGAAAACACTGACAAGCTCTAAGTTTAAGTCACGCTTATTTCTTTCAGTGTCAGTCAAAAGTCTTCCAGGTATGAATCAATAGGATGACTTTAATGATACAGGATTCAAAACAGTTTCTTAAAAAAGAAAGAGGTGAGGCAGCTGGCCAGTTAGCTCAGTTGCTTAGAGTGCTGTGTTGTAACACCAACGTCAAGAGTTCAGATCCTCACCACTCCGACAAAGAGTTGAATCATGTGAAAGAATTGTAACACAGTCATAAAAATAATTAAATTATTTTTATGCTTAAGTTATATTACTTTAAAAACAGGAAGAGTATAATACACTTCAGTGTTTCTAAAGTTTGTATTCTTCTTCACCATTTTCACAGAATACTCAGAATTCTCTTTCTTTTGGGAAGATATACAAAGGTGGAAAATTTATGACTGCCACTCTGTGTACTCAGAACAGACTGGAAAGAAACAGAAGGCTATTATTACAAGTCTTTCTTCATTGAAGAAACTTTTTCTCATAACTATGGCCAACAATGGCCTCTCGCTTTAGATCTCTTACAGAACACATCGCTCTACCTTACTTATTTTCTAGTTGCTTACGGCTTATTAACATGATCTCCCCAAACAGCCTAGAAACTTGCTGAAGCCTAGACCATGTTTTTTAAAAAAAATTTCTGTTGATCCAACTGAGTCTTCAGCCCAGTTCTAGACAAGGACAGGTTCTAAGTAAAGACATGTTGAATTGAAATGAACAGGAAATGAATAGGAATCGTGCTTCCAACCTACATTCGCAGGCTGTCAGTTACAGGCACTGTACCATAAAATCTTTACAGATCTAGAAAGGAATAGATCCATGCTGTTAGAGTAGACTAGATTATGATGTTATAACACACGCTAGTAAGAGAAGATGATGAAACATCACCCGCATTAGCATATGCAATTATTAAAGAAATATTTTGTTCAAGTTTAATTCATGCTAAAGCACCTAGTCCTTTCCTATGCTAAGAATACTGCAACACAATACTTTGGAAAATTATCCTGAACAGTAAAAAAATCTTTACAGATCTAGAAAGGAATAGATCCATGCTGTTAGAGTAGACTAGATTATGATGTTATAACACACGCTAGTAAGAGAAGATGATGAAACATCACCCGCATTAGCATATGCAATTATTAAAGAAATATTTTGTTCAAGTTTAATTCATGCTAAAGCACCTAGTCCTTTCCTATGCTAAGAATACAAGTTTATAAAAGTAAAAAAAACTATAAACGTCCACATGTGCATCTGGATGTTTAGATCTTACGTCTCAGGAATACTTGGTTGACAGTAACTGATCAAACACTAGGGTTATCAGGGTCAAGGATCCCATTAGATCTTAAGACCAAGAATCATCTCAGAGTAAAAGGTAGTGTTTGCCATATTACCTCTCCTTAATTGGAATCAGTTACTTATTTAAAAAGTAAGTTAACAAGGTGTTTAGTACTCAAACGCACTCAAAGCACGAGGGTTTTCTCAATCCCCCTGTCGTCTGACAGCCTCTTTCTATTTCCATGTATTAATCTTTTGCAAGCCACCTCATATTCTTGTTGGGAAGGGACACGTTGTGAATAAAGTCTTCCTTATCTTTCAGACTTAACCCAGCATGAAGGAAGGCAACGACGACCTGCAGCATACTGTGAGGAACCAAAAATGAAAAAGTCTCACTGAGTGACATCCCTGAGCTTGAAAAGGACCTGAAGACTTTGCCGCTTATATTAAAGACTATGAAGATTGGGCAGACGCTAGAGAACAGCAGCCAAAGTTCAACATGTTCCATCTCCTGATTTATGGATCCTCCTAGCACCAGTCACAGCTATGGGCAAG